CTTACGACCCCCCCCCCCCCCCCCCCCCCCCCCCAGGCAGCGTAAGGACACCCTGGTAAGGGCGCTGTGACCATGGATCAGGTACAAATGTGATGCCGCCCTTTGCACGGCACCTACGGAAAAAACGTGGGGGGTTTAATACGTATATGCATATGCATATGTGTATGTGTACGTATATGATGTATATATTTATATGCATGCCTGCCCCGACTCCACTCGAGGGGGAGCACAGCCACCCTGCAGTGCTCTCTGGCCTTCTTGTCCTTGTGACCATGGATCAGGTACAAATGTGATGCCGCCCTTTGCACGGCACCTACGGAAAAAACGTGGGGGGTTTAATACGTATATGCATATGCATATGTGTATGTGTACGTATATGATGTATATATTTATATGCATGCCTGCCCCGACTCCACTCGAGGGGGAGCACAGCCACCCTGCAGTGCTCTCTGGCCTTCTTGTCCTCAGCACTGGGGGGGGTGTCTCATCCTGCCCAGGCTGCAGGATCAGGGCACCCACCACCCCAGGGCAGGATCAGGCCCCACATCCCTCCCGAGCAGGATCTGGGACCCACACCTTGGTGCAGGATCAGGAATGCTGGAGCAGACACCCGCCCCACCCACCCCCCAGCCCCTGGTACAGGATCAGGCCCCCACAGCCCCCAGAGCAGGATCAGGGACCCACACTCCGGTGCAGGATTAGGCTCCCACGCCCCTGGTGCAGGATCAGGCCCCGGGCTGCCAGTCCCCTCTTGCCATCTCATGGCTAGTGGGGGAACATCAGCAGCACCCGGGCAGGATTGGGCCAGCGCTGCCTGGGGCAGACCCTCCTCTGGGTTTGGGGCGTGGGGAAATCACCATGGGGTGAAGGGAACAGGGAGAAACACCCCCCGTACCCCCCCACCTGCTCCTGGGGGCATTTCTGTGCCCCTCACCCTAGCACCGGGGCTGCTGGGGGGGGGACCTCCTTCCCCATCCAAACCAGGCACGTGTGGCACGGTGTCCCCCAAGCTGGGTGTGAAAACGCTTCCCCCACCCCAGAGCATTCCCCAGCCGCACCCTGCCCTGGGTGGCAGCTGTCCCCTCCCAGGGATGGGGGCTCAGAGCCCTGCACAGGGGCACGGGGAGCGGGGCTCCGGGGCTTTTCCCGGGGGCTGCGGGAGGCGGCGAGGTTTTCGGCGGGTCCATTCCCGGGGGGGTGTCACAAACAGGAGGCGGAGGCGTGCACAAAGCACCCGGAAAGGCCTTTAATCTCTCTGCGCC